GGAGGGCAGTGTCACTGGTCCTCATATGTGGGATCCGAACCGGGGCCCTCTGGCATCCCAAGCGAGTTCTTAACCATCGCGCCACTCGGCCGGCCAGCAGCTGTATATTAAGGACTAAGCCGCTGAGTGAAAGGGATGCAGGCATTGGGTGCTGGTGGGGGATGTGGTCTGAGCAGTTCCTGTGAGAGGACACCTTTGCTAATGGGTAAGAGGGACCCTAACTACACACATACATCCCTTCCGGGCACATCTCTTTACCTTTTAAAGAAGAAATAGAACAAGACTTCAAAGATCTCATGGGGTGGATGTTTCTGATTTGGATTTGGAGGGAGGGAGGCGGGCGGGCTGAGCTACGCTTTCCTGCAAGGCCCAGTCAGCAGCAGTGAGGGAGCTGGGCCGTGAGACCTCAGGGTTGGAAGGAGAGAGGTGGTGCGCTCTGGTCCGCGCCCAGCACACCCCTCCATTTCCTGTATTGCATCCCTGCCACCAACATCAGCTTGAATTCCTTCAGTGATGACGAACTCACTACCACCCATAGTCATCGGCCCCTTTCTGGGAAGCCCTCAAGTGTCACACTGAGACCAAACCTGTGTCCCTTAGGGCCTGCGTTTTGCCTTCATGTGCCATGTAAGACATGTTTATTCCCTGTTCCACCAAAATCAATCATTCACTCACCCATCCGTCTACTTGACAAGCATCTTGCTGAGCTCCTTTTACACACCGGAGCCTGCCACGTGCTGGGAATACAGAGCTAATGAGGATGTGATTTCTGCTTTCCCGAAGCTTGTTTTAGAGCAGAAAGGTATATTCAGGGGGCTGTTGAGGAACAATATACAGAGGTGTGACATGATGTTCTAAGTCACACACCTAGTAATTGGGCTAAAGCACACATTTAATTTAATCTAACACTGCATGAGGTTTTAGCAATGCTATTTCTTCGTATTGAGCTTTGAGCCAATAGAATTCCTGGAGTTTTGTTGCTGTTCTGGCAAATTACTGCTAAATTGGAATGTTTCGTTCCGGTGCCTTTAGCACTGAGAACAGGGACCTATCAGGGCCAAGTGGGAAGGGGGTAGGACATCTTCGAGGATGGTCCTGGTTGCCGTCCTGATGCCTGAGCCACCTTGAATAAGCACTTGCCCTCTCTGAGCCTCCCCTAACGCCCCCCTTAATGAACTGAGCACATTGGACTGGGTGATAGTGGGTCACAGTCCTTTCCAGCCCTGCGAGTCTCCCCAACAGTCCCCTTGTGAGCCTCAGGCCTGTTAGGACAGGGTTGTATCCTTGGTTGAGAGATGGCACCTGGGCAGCTCTGTCTCCTCTGCTCGCCTGCTGGGACCGGGCAGGCCCTCGGAGAATACTGCATATCCTGCTCACAATGGGGAAGTGGAGAGGGACAGCAGGAGGGCTGGGAGAGCAGGGAGTAGGACACAGGCCTGCCTCAGCGCTGGGGTATTGAAAGGCAGCTTCTGTTGAAACCCACCCTCTACCCCAGGTACTCAGGGTGCAACCTGAGCTCTGATCTGAGTTCTAATTTCTCAACTATCACTCCTTACAGTGATAGAATATGCAGGACCATTCTGCTGCTGAAGGTGAAAGTGAAAGGCCTTTTCCTCCCTCTCCCTCTCCCTTCCTCTCTCCCTCCCTCCTTTCCTTTTTCTTCAGCATAGGAGCTACCAGGTCCCTTGAATCTGCCTTGCTGCCATTCTGGTTTTTAGGGAGGAGGGTGGGACCTTGTCTTATGGGGAATGGAGGTGCCATGTTTCCAGGAGGTTGAAGGAAATGTGCTTGGAAACTGTATCAGATAAGAAGGTGTGTGGCTGCATGTAACAGAAACCTAGCCCCAGTGGCTTAGCCAAATTGAGGTTTATCTTTCTCAAGTGGTAAGACATCTAGAGGTGGGCGCTCAGGGCTGGTGCGCTGCTGAAGGAAGTCATTGAGAACCCAGGCCCCGTCTGGCCTATGGGAAAAGCCTGTGGCTTCTGTCCTAATGGTGGCAAGATGGCTACTCCACCTCCAGGCATCACATCTGCATTCTAGGCAGGAGGGAGGGGAGATGGAAAGAGTAAAAGGTGCAAAAGTGTATGAGGAATGCAGGCCTCCCCGCTTTGTTTTCAGGAAAGCAATAACTTCTAGAAGCTCTATCCAGTAGGCCTCAGGTTATGTCTCACTAGCCACATTGAGTCTTGTGACCTCGGCCATTTGCAAGAGAGTCCACGTTGTTATATATTTTGAATGGGGCACATGTGCTGCTCTGAACAAAATCCAGATCTTGTCATAACAGAGAAATAGAGAGGGGATATTGGGTAGACAAACAGCAGCATCTGCCACATCACCGCTCTAGGTGGGGCCAATTTGCAGCTTTCCTTTCTCTCTGTCCTTGAGGACACACTTGGCACATAATCACATTTCTGCAAAGCCCCAAGTCTAACTCCAAGTCATCATACAAGTAGCCAGAGTTTGCTGAAGGAGTTTGAAGGAGGTGGAAGAGGCGGTTACAAAACATAGCGAAAGCTCCAAAAACCCTGTTTACACATCTCCCATTCTTCCCAGTTCCCGTCCCTGTTCTAAAGGGCTTGCTCTTTTCTAACATCCTGCTGCTCTGTGTCGCCAGCCATGCTCACGTCCACCTTCTCCACTGTCATCCAAAATTTCCTCCACTTATGTCCCCAACTCAGCAAAACAGAAGGTGGTGGCCAGCCTCCCATATTCAGCCAGCATCCCTCTGGCAGCCCCCAGAAAGCCTTCCAACTCAGCACGCCACGCTCTGAACACGAGTCTTAGTACATCCCTGAGAGGGGGTAGTTCTGGAGGGAGGTGATGGTGCTGCTCAGTGATGTTAAAAAAAGAAAAAAAAGGAAAAGTTAAGAAGCTTGACCAAAAGCCTGATTTTCTGGGGACTCTTGGAAGACCCCTTCCTCATCCCTGCCACAGGGTCTGAGGAGGGGCCTGGGTCAGCCACTGCTCCTGAGAGCTGGAGCAGACGAGTCCAATAAGCACATTGCTAAGATGCCCCAGCCCTGTGCCAGCTGGCCTCAAAGGGAGTGTGCCCAGCTCCTCCCAGTGGGCAGCAAACAACCCTCCAGGCAACTCCCAGTCCAGACGGGAGAGGAAGCAAAGACGCTAACCTCTGAGAGCCAGCCAGGCCCCAGCTGCTCCCTCACTGGGGGTGGAATTACTCATCTAATCCCATGTATTACTCATATTACAGTGTGTCCGACATGGTGTCAAGCACATAGATACATCATCTCAGTCGATCCTCAAGACTCCCCCCCACCCCCGAAAGGTGGCCATTACTATAAATATGATTCCCATTTCACAGAGAAGGAAACTGAGGCTCAGAGAGGTTAGGCATGTGTCCCAAAGCAGACACCTGCTAAGTGGAGAAACCAAAATTCAAAGCCAGCCTGTCCGACTCCAGAGCTCTCATTCTAGCCCCCCAGCCTCTGGCCTCAGTTAGAATGTCAGTGGAGCCCCTTCTTTTTCTCAGCATTGATTCCATGGAAAGTGTGCCCTTTTCTGTTCCCCATATTGGCAGCTCTGCCTTTCCACATGCTTTCAAGCTGTCTTCTCTTATCCTTCCCACCCTCCTCCCCTCCAACACAGGCCACCGGGACCCTCAAAGCGCTCAGACACGGGAGGAAGGAAGTTTGCAGGAAGGAAATTAACTGCAGAGGCCACAGAGCAGGGTTCCAGCCCCAGCTCTGTCCCCTACAAGCTAAAATTCCCTTAACATCCCAAGCCTCAGCTTTCTCCTCTAACGGGAACGCTGATGGTTCCTACAGCTCCTACAGGGTTGATGTGAAGGTTAAACAAGGTGCCGTAAGGCAGAGACCCAGAGTCAGTTCATCACAAATACGATTTTTCTTCTTTCCCCCCGTCAGTTCCCTCGGGAAAGCCTCTTTATTACATCCTCAAACCCAGAGAATTCTACCAATGAGCCTGCTGAAAGGAGTGTTTGGGGTGTGATGGTAACATAAGGGCACAGGTCCCTCCTCCGGGTGAGCTTCTCACAGCTGCTAAGCTCACACAGAGACTCAGAGGGCCATGACATTTGGGTCGGGACCTAGAGAAGAGGTCATAACGTGTCAGCTTCAGCCCACAAAACAAATCTCGTTTGGCACCACCATTTAGCTCTTGTAGTGCTTGTTTGTTTAAGTGAAAATTATTTGTCAATATGTATAAAAATCAACAAATTTCCCATAAAATCCAGATTTGGGAATTCCTTTCGGGCAACTAGGAATTCTTTTCGAATGCCAGGCCCGCAGGCTTTTACGTGACACCTGGAAACTGCCCACTTTGGGTGGGTGGGTGGGGTGTACCCCTCAAGTGGGCCGCAGTCCCCATTGCTCGCTCTCATTCCATCGCTCACTCTCCTCGCCTGGCCCAGAGCCTTTCCTGTGGGTTGTAACCTGTTGGCATCTTCATTTCAGAACCTGACAGAAAATGACATCCAGAAGTTTCCTAAGCTCCGGGTGCCGTAAGTACCCCTCTCTGAGTCTTTGGGTGGTTTGGGGAACAGGGGTTAGAGTGGGGAGCAGTGCAGGGGGAGCTGAGTCGGTTATCTATCGCTGCTGGTTTGAACTAGGAAAGTGAGCAGAAAGGGCAGAAGCTAGACCGGAGCGCGGGGAAGAGAACCCGCAGCGCAACAGGAGCTGGGCAGAGGGAGTGCCGGGTCCAGCCCAGCCGGCATCTCGGCTGCTCTTGCCAAAGACAAGCCCGACTCTGGACCACGTTTTCGTTTCCTCTCTCCCGAGCGGGGTGGCTCAGGCCTGTGGAAATAGCACCAGAGTCGAGGGACGCGAGGTTTCATCATGGCGTCATCACTGACTCAGTGATTGCTTAAGGTTTATGGACTTCGGTTTCGACCGCAGTAAAATGAGAGGGTTGGACCATGTGAAGGGTGGTGAGTAACATCATCCTGTCTGTCACGACTGACTGCGTGGGAATGGCTGTCAGGGGCACTGGATCCTAAGTATCCTAAGAAGTACCTAAGGAAAAGGGGGGCACAGGACCCATTACTGACGTCTGACATGGGTGCTAAAGTGGGTAGTTGCAGCGTGCACATCATCCCGTGTGTTTTCGAATCTTCTAGTAAAGGTCTCACACACTCAAATGCTTACAGGAGCCAGACAGGTGAGACAAATGTGTCAAATGGGCCAGGCTGAACAACACAAAGCTCTTTCGATTTCTCTTTTGTTTTACCACCTTTGAATGAAACGTGGGTCTGGATAAATATTACCCCACAATAAGAAAAATAACAGCATGGTGATGCTGATGAGAGAAGTAATCACCACACAGCCTCGCTGGTGGAGCAGCCTAGGGAGTGGTGGAGACTGCGGCAAATCAGAATCCTACCCTCCATCCCCAGAGCAGCAGCCACTCAGCTCCAGTCCGTGTGAACCCAGTGATGCCCAATCTTTGAATTTGCCAAAAGTAGCTAGAAATACTGGTTTTATGTGACATAGCTCCATTTTTAAATGTTGGCTCCAATGGTTTAAAATAACTGTGTAAGCCTAAGTAAGCATATCTGTGGGCCAGATTTAGTCTGGGGGCCGCCAGTTTTGCAACCTGTACTCTGGGCCTTCTCTGAGGTCCTCTGTCTTGCTGTAAGGGTCTCTGAGCTCATAATAATACAAGGGAAGTAGGCCAGTGGAGGGAGAGGTTGGGAGGTCTCAGGAGTAGGTAGGAACTGCTAGAGTTAAGGAAAATATGACTGTCACGTTTCCCTCGCCTGGAAGGGTGAAGGAAAAGAAAGAGATCAGGCTTTGCCTTTGGTGCTGCCTATCTCCAGGGGCAAGTGTTGTTGAAGAATGATTATTCTTCCTAAGGGTTTTTTCTAACCGCATATGGCTATTTAAATTTAAATTAAACAAAAAATGCAGTTTGTCAGACACTAGCCCCATAGAGCTGGTGACTACCATATTGGGGAATGTAGACAGAATATGTCCGTGTTTGCAGAAACATTATGCTCTAGAAAAAAAGACCGCAGTTCTATGTAAAGGAGGGGACTTAACGCACAGAGGTCAAAGCCTGCAGACACATTAAGTTTGGCCCCCACCGTGTTTTAAAATCAAGGAATATTCCACAAAATCCAGTTCCTCTCGAAACAAATGGGATATTTGGTAATCCAGGGCTCATTTTATATTTTATAACAATCAGCTACACGATTGTCTATTGGCCTGTGTAGATGGGGTTTCTGCTCCCCAGTTTACTGTGGTCCCCACCACTCCCTAAGGGATTGTCCCAAGGTGCTTCAATCATGTTTAACATATGAATGGAGACTTTGGCTTTCTGACAAACAAGAAGTAATGAGACCAGGTTTCCTCTCCTGCCTGAAATAACCAAAATAACCAGGTAAACTATGTGCGCCAGCTGTTTCCAAGGCATTGGACATCAGACAATGAGAGATGGGAAACAAATGCAGTGATCCCCGTGATTGCTCACTGCTTTGAGAGTCTCCAGGCCATGGCCCAGAAGGCAGGGAACACAGGTGGAGTCTGGTGAACTCCTCGAGTTGAGGAGGAGAGAGAGCTGAGAGTCAGGAAGTCTAGAGTTCACTGAATGGGTATCAGAAGAGGAAGAATTGCCCTGAGAAAATGGTTCTGGAGAACTTCGGTAGAGTACTGACCAGTGCACGTGCGTAAGGAGATTACTTGAAAAGAACCAGTCAACATTAGAGGTAAGAGCAGCCTGCCCCAGGGCTGGAAACCATGCCTGTTTCTATCACCCAGATTGGAAATGTCCAGATTCATAGTCATTGGGTAGAGTGCACAGAAAGACCTTGCCTTAGTCGTGGGGAATACTTAGCTCATGTCTAAAAACTGACTGGCCCTCCCTAGGGAATCTTAAGAGCAATACTGAAAAAAGAAAAAAAAAATCAAACTGATTCAAGTAACTTAACTACTTTCCCAAACAAAGCTCAGAAACATTTATAGGAATGCAAAAATGTCCATCACCGAGCAAAGTAAAATTCACAACGTCAAGCATCTAATCAGATTAATAGTCATACAAATAAGCAGAAAAATAGGGCTTATAACGAGGAGACAAACCAATCTGCATCAAAACTGACCCATAACTGCCACAGATATTGGAATTAGCAGACAAGGGCGAAGTAACTGTGGTCCATATGTTCAGAAAGTTAAGTTGAGGCATGAGAAATACAAAGGGACCCCAATCGAACTTCCAAAGATAAAAACTATGATGTCTGGGTTGAGAAGTGCACTGCTTGGGGGTAATAGCAGATTAGACATTGCAAACTAACATATTAGTAAACATGAAGATACGGCACTAGACACTATCCAAAATGAAACGCAGAGAAGAAAGAACGAACGTATAATAATGAAAAGAACACCAGGGAACTGAAGGGAACTTCAAGAGGCCCCGTATATGTGTAGCTAAAGTCTAAAGGAGAGGAAAGTGTGTGGAGGGAGCCTACGTTCAAGGGCCAGTAGGAGAGTCAGAGGAAATAATGAGGAAATATTAAAATGCACTGGAGAAAGGTTAGCTATTCTTATTATTTTATGCAAAACCCCAAGGAGCACAATTTCTAATTTTTACTCAACATTCTGTCCTGCTAAGGGGGGAAGGGTTACAGGATAGAAAGGCATGGGCTTTGGAGCAGGGGCGATCCAGGTGGTAAAGCTCCTACCAGCTGGGGGACGTGGGGTCAGTCACTTCAACACTCTGAGCCTCAGTTTCCTCATCTATAGAGGGGTAAGAGCTAACTCTTGGGGGGGTTGGATTTTCAAGGAGGCAGCCCACATAAGTTTTCTGGTGCCGTCCCTTGATGCATATCGATAGTCAATACTTACTCATTCCAACCCCTTGTACATAGGTTCATTTGCTGTGCTCATTACCCTAAGGGCCCATGAAGAAGAAATTGTATTTATGTAGAGCAGACCAAAACTAGATTACACTCCTCTGAATATTCCTATTCCCTTCTTCCAAGATTAAAAAAATCGATATTAAATAGGTTTTGTCAGAAGGCAGATGCTGGTGAGGAAGGCTTTCTCTGTCTGCAGATGGAGTCGGTCTCTAAGCACATAGCTTCTCCCAGAGACACCCCAAATTATGTAATGGGGACGGTTTTGAAATAGGAAAATGGAGCCCCGTTTTAGAAGACCTAGCTCAATACCCATGGCATAGCTGAGCGGGAGCTGCTTAAATCAGTAGAGAATATGTTAAAGTCTGCTGATGCCCACTTGGAGTTTATTTTAAAAAGCATATTATAAGTTTTGTATTTAAATCCATAGGGAGAGCTAATGCCTTGCCTAAGGTCACAGAGTGGGCTCTGCCATTAGACTGGCAAGGACCCGCTCTCTGTGCTTCTAATATCACTGGGTGAGGCCTTTACTGAGAAGTCAAAGACTGGTTCGCATCATGCACTACGCTGGGGAAGCAACGGGGCTGGAATCCAGATCATGGCAGGACTCCACCTTGTTGCAATGGCCTGACTTCCTGTTGGAAGGTTCAGCCCCTCTTCTGGGGCCAGTTCATCCCTAAAAACCAGGTAAAGCAGAGAAAACGATGCCTACCAGCCGCCTAGCCCCCTCTGCCTCTCTCCCTGGTATGAGCGAGGCCTGAGGTTTGAGGAGAGGAGGGGGAAGGAGTCATCTCCAGCTGCTCACTGTTACTTGGTCCTATGGGGCTGTGGGCGTGGGGGACAACTTGAAAGGTTTGCACGTAGAGGTAGCAACCGCCTCCCTTTCCTGTCCACCAGCACAGCAGCCCTGTCTACTCACTCCCCAGCACGGTCTCAGATGGCTGGGAGGATGTTCTCTGAGGCCCCCCCAAAGCGGGAGGACCCTGGGAGCCCATGTTTTGCCGCAAGCCAGACCGGCAGGCCCTGCTCTGCTCTCTCTCAGCTCTTTGCTGCGCCTCTGTCTGGGCCTGTGGTTTGGCATTTCCTTCCTTAGCCAGTTAGAGACCCAGCAGCCTCCAGCCTGGCTGCTAAAGATACTGGTAAGAAAACACCACAGAGAGTAGGAGGTCCTTTCAGGATCAAAGCATCTCTGTGAGCCAGTCAGAGCCCAGCTTGGGGGGCGTTGAGGTGCGATCCAGCCCCACCTTCCTTCTCCAGGTCATCGCTGAAATGTCTTGTCATCTCAGCACTGAGGCCTGCTCGTTTTCAATTGCAGCCGCACCCCTCCCATGCACCCCGTCCTCCCTCACCCAGCTCCCACCACCACTGCGTCTTTATCTTCACAGTTCTTACCTAGAATTTCACTTCTTTAAATGTTCATTGTTATTGTCTGTCTCTCTTCACTAGCATGTAAGCTCTTTGAGAGCAGGGGTGTTTGTTACGTTTACTGAGGCACCCTGAGCACCCAGCAGAGTCCCTGGCACTTGAAGGAACTGCACATTGTTGAATGAAAGGGGGCGTGGAAAGGGAGTGGTTGCTGCAGCCACCACCTCCAGACCTGGCCAGGATGCAGGACACTATCGGGGCTCCCCTCTTCCATCCTGCATGTCAGGGGTGGGAGAGAGGGACTCCCCCAAACAATCACCTCTTAAAAGAAACCAAAGAACCTTGACCCAGGTGTTCTGGCTGTGTGGTCAGGCGGTCCCTGGGAAGCCCCACTGTGTTTTAAAGCATCTACCAGCTCCGGGCAGTCAGTGAAGTATAACATTTCAACAATGACACAATGACAGAGGATTAAACATTACCCTCTCTCCTTCTCTGTCCTCTTAAATCCTCATGGTGTGTATCACAATTAATTTATCCTGTCATTCTAATGAGGTAGGAGGCCTCTGATCAGTAGCTCCCTGAAAGCTTGGAGCAGTGGAGGGTTTGGGGGTCCGCCTGGGGGGAACATGAGGGAAGTAAAAAGTTGTGGATGCTAAGGACTGTCTTTGCAAATTTGGGAATTTTGTTTTAGGCCAAAGTTGTTACCTTGAGATGGTTACTTAATAGAAATGCAGACCCTGGGCCGTTTTCAGATGGGCCACAGGCTCAATAGAGTTCACTCCCAGGGAGCTCGCAGTGTAAAGGGCATGAACACAGGACAGGCTCTTCTGAAAGTGTGCTGCCCCGAAATTAGGGAGCCTGGCTTCTGGGGCTGTATGTGTTATGGGGAAAGGGATGGCCTGTGTCACTAACCCCCAGGTGGGCCTGTCCCTTTTGTCTGGGCCTCTGCGGCCTCATCTGTAAAATGATGTTAGACCAGACCATCTCCGAGGCTCTTCTCAGCTACCCCAAATCTTCAGGAAACACTGAGCCTGTTTACTCCCTTGGTCTCAGCAGTGGGTGCTGAGGGAGGCTGGAGTCTCATGTCCTGAAGGTTCGAGAGACACCATGGAATGGATGCTGATTGCTAGGGTGGCTTGTGGTGCAGTCCTGGCGAAGGCCCTCCCTGCCCTGGGGCTTGGGGACTTGCTAGTTCAGAGCACCCAGGAACTAGAAGTATCAGCAAGGGTCCTGGCCAAGGTTGGCCTCAGGGCATGGGAGATGGAGGGAGTCTCCCACTCTGCAGGCTGTGCCTTAATTGGGAATACTTTCTACATTTCCGTAAGAACCCACATCACCCAGGAGGAGGCAGGGAGGGGAGAATGGAAGGAGATACAGGTCAAAGGACAGCCCCTCGAGCTCTTGTCAAAAGAGCTGTGTTACCAGCAACTGATTCCTCCAGGTCTCAGAGGTGACTTGAGGATTCTTGGAAGCCAGACTTCACCCACAAGAACGCCAAAGCAAGTCAGGACACCTCAGCTCTGGGAGTACTGACACAATAAAACACACAGTGGTCGTGTCCAGGTCATAGGGCTGCAGGATTTTGGAGACAGGGAAACTGGGTGTGAGCTGACAAGTCTTCACGGAGGCGCTCTGAGCTAGACCGAGGATGCTGAGCCTGACACAGAGGGTTTCCTGGGCAGGAGCACGGGTTGGCAGGGAGATGAAGGTGACGAGTCCCGGGAGGAAGTGAAGAGCAGAGGGCCCACTGAGGGGACCGCTGGAGGCCAGAGGAGGAGGCCAGCCCAGGTGCCTGAAGTCAAACAAATCAAGGCATTTCGGGCCTCTGTGGGAAGCCTGGGGCAGGGAGAGATGATGGTTTTGTTACTTCCTCTGTCTCTTTATCTTGTAGGATTCTCAGTAAGTTAAGTCAAGAAATCAACAAGAATGAAGAGAGGAGAAGCATTTTTGCACGCAAGTGAGTGGGCCCAGTGTCGCTGAAGTGAAACAGAGAATTTTCAAACCCAAGTTGAACCTTAAATGGGAGGCACAGAGCTGGTTTTGCCCAGTTTTGATCTGTGTTCCTTCAGTCCCTGGGTATGGAAGCTGGTGACCAGGAGGGGAGGGCGTTCCCTCTCCTGACCCAGCACCCTGCCCCTGGGTCTGGGGTGTCAAGGAAACTTCCCCTAGAAAGTCAGGCAGTCACGAGCTCCCAAGTGCACCAATGTGGCCTTAGCGGTTTCTAGAATTTGGAGGCAGCTTGGCCCTGGTTATCAAGCAACAAGGGCACCAGTCCTGGGTAGTAAGATATGCTCTCCATCGGGGGGATCCTCTTGCAGGGCTGGGTTGAGGACAGAGGGAGACCCCCCCCCTCTTTAATCATCAGGACCATTCATGCAATGCCATTTGCCTTTGCAGACACCAAGTCCAGCGGTTTCCTGAAGAAACAGGTAAAGGTCTCAGGGAGTGAGAGTGATAGCTTTAGGAGGTGACAGGTACTTTGGTTCTGTTTGTTGGTTCCTAGGGCTCCTTGAGTGGCATGCAGGTAACCTTTTCATTTGCCTGTCAGCCATTTCTTATCTGGAAAAGGGTCCGGGTCCGGATTGAGGGGAGGAGGTATGTCATTATGCAGGACACCTGGCTTATGGCACCTGCTTAGCTGGGACCCTCTGCAGAGACACAATGAGGAACTCTGCCGGCGGGAGGGAGCATGGAAGGACCCAGACTTTGGCTCAGCACCTGAATGGAGCCAGCCCCATGCTTCTCAATCTTTAAAGCAGTGTTTCAACTGTTATAGTGCACATAATTTAAAGCACTCTCAGATGACTTTTATGAACATGAAAGGTTGAGACTCACTGCTGCCATCTAGTACAAGCCACTCAGCTAGACATTCTAGCACTGATACTAACTTGTTCCCCACCAGGGATGCTACGCAGAAGGTGGGGTGCAGGCCTGGGACGGGGCGGTGGTGTGGGACAGCATCAGATGCGAGAGCTGCTTTGCCTTCCTTTTCTAGTGGCTTCTGTGGTGCTGATGGTCGTGTTGTCTTCTTCCACAGAAAGCCACGAGGAAGACAACGGGGGCTGGTCGTCCTTTGTGAGTATGGGGTGCCGTCTTTCCAGCGTGCCTTTCTAGTAAGGAACCAGCACAATGCCAAAAGGAGCCAGGCCCCTGGCACGGTGCCTGTCCACCCCATCCAGGGCTCAGAAAACGTGTCCTGGGGAGTTTGCGAGTGCTCCTTCAGTCCCCGTAAGACAGTAGTTATCTCCTGCTTTGCCATCCACACGGTCTGTGTCTCATCTGCTCACCTCTGCTGCTGTAGCACAAAAGCAGCCACAGGTGATACCTAAATGAAGGGGCTTGGCTGTGTGCCAAGCAGCCTTCTCTTATAAGCACAGACGGTGGCCGGAGCTGGCCCGTGGGCTATAGTTTGCAGACCTCACTGTCACCCACCATTACCACTCACATCAGGCAGGGCCTTTCCCCAGCCCCTTCTCACACTAAAGCAGCTTCAAAGTAGCTCTTCTTGTTTAAGTCCCCACTGGTGACACCGAGGGAAAGGGATTTCAGAATCAACCAGTAAATATAAACTAACCTCAGGGAAGGTCCCTTCCACTTGGGTTTTGCATTTTGGAGGTCACAGTGAGCCCTTTGGGAGTCTGGTGCGCTCTGCACTTCCTCTTCCCATCAGGCCACATATACAGTCACAGTGCGTGAAGATAGACTCAGGCTGTCTAGTGGATCGGAGCCCAATCTGTTCATTCTGTGATGAAGCAGCTGCGCCCCCGGGAGAGCATCTTGTTAGAGCCACACCAGCCAGTCGGAAGCAGGCCTGGGACCAGTGGCCCAGCCCTCAGTCCAGGGGTCTTTCTGGGGAGCAGCTGCCTCTAGTGCCTTTAGAAAGCAGGCACTAAACATCCCTTATCCTATTGGGATTCTGGTAAAAGGAAGCATTGCATTTGAAAAATAGACCAGCGAAGTCTGTACTTTGTCTGATCACACAGAAATAGGACAGATTTATTTTGTACAAAAGAGAAAATAGACCAGAGTTTCCTCCTAAGCGTTTACATATTCACACAGAAGCTCCATCTTTGTCACTGCTTGCCATGTAGTCCCTCCTGTGCAGGGGCTCAGCCTGAAACTGGTCTCCTCAATCCTCTCTGTAAGCAGGGCTTTCCGCTAGCTGCCGGCTACAAAACTCGGGGCTTCCAAACGAGCCCAGCACGGCACAGGACACTCTGGAAAAAAACCCAATCCTGGGGGTAGTTTGGATAATACATACACATGGCAGAATATGATTAGGAACAAAAACACGCATAAATTTAGGAGCCAAATCACTGGGAGAAATAATCCTTCTAGAAGCGGAGTGGGAAAGTCTATTGTTGAGAAAGGCTTATGGGTTAAAGGCCTGGAGGGAAGTCCGGAGCCATGCATGGCCCTGGGGTGGGCAGGCTGAGAGAATCCAGCGTTTCCCCTGTCAGACTAGGGGGCAGTCAGAACCAATGAGGCCATTGTCCTGAAGTCCTCTTTGTCACAGGTTCCATCCCCTGCTCTTAAGTTATAGACACACTGATGGCCAAACCAGTTCTTTTCAGAGTTCAGGAAGACATGCAAACCCTCACTTTGCCTTCTAATATATATTTTTAAAAAATATTTCTCAAGTCAAAAATTAACACAGGAGTCTTTCAATTGAACAGCTAAGGCAGTCTTCCTTAAGCCACCTCGCAAAGCTCTCAGGGTTTCTAGATTATCGCTACGTATGTTTCTTCTCCAAGTTGCAACCTCCCGCTGCCTCTTTCCACAATGCCTTTGACTTTAGAAAAATGCCCTGCGCTCATTTACTGCCCACTTGACTTTGGCATAAGAGTGATAAGCCGCTTCGCAGGGCAGCTGATGGCACCCCTCTGCTTGGGAAATCATTACTGTCCACTTTCATGGCATGCTTCCAAAGCAATCACCCAGCCCCTAGGACTTACTTTCCTGAGACCCACCAAGAAGCAAACATGAAATACAATAAAATATTTTAAATTTGGAAAGAGAGTCTCTCCAAGAGGGCAGCTTCAAATTCAGGGTCAGCAGTCATGAGTAATGAACTGTTGTTTCGATGCACTCAATCCTCAGCAGAAAAATGAAGAGCAGAGCTGTGACTGCTGCGCTCAGACACAACTTCATTTGCCTTCCTGTTAACAGGCTTGGCTATCTGGCTTCCCATTAGCATGGCCTTCAGCTCTGTACTGGGTTACAATGACAAGACATCTTTTGAGCACAGGGACACTAAGAACAGAACTGACAATGAACTTGGAGCATCACAAATGCTCCAGACATTTAGTCTTCCTGTAGGTGATGCCTGCAGTAAAAAACATGTTTCCTCAAAACGGAGCCAGGTCTCCCGCCCCTTTCTTCTAGCATCTTCTTCATTTCTTCTGCTTTTCTCTGTTGTGCAAAAAGGTGTAGAGGAGAATGCACTCGCCTAGTGGTCTGAAGGCTTGATGGGGGTCTCAAGTCTGTGACTTCGCTGGCCCTGTGATGGTGCACTCCCCGACCTCAGTGTCCTCATCTGGAAAATGGGAATAACCATCCCAGTGCTGCCTGCCCTGGGGCGAGTCCTGGCAGAGGAAGAGTAGACGCGGGTATGTTGAGTGCCAAGGAACCTCTACAAACTGCACTGTCCCTGTTGCTGTGTTGGCAGGAAGATGATGACTATGAAAGTCCCAACGACGATCAGGATGGGGAAGATGATAATGACTATGAGTCCCCCAACGAGGAGGAAGAGGCGCCTGTGGAAGACGACGCCGATTACGAGCCACCGCCCTCCAACGACGAGGAAGCCCTGCAGAACGCCATCCTGCCTGCCAAGCCGTTCTCCAACTCCAACTCCATGTACATTGGTAAGGGCCCTGGCAGCCCAGCCCCCAGCTCCCGCTTGTGCACGGGAGGCCGATGCCCACATAGCACAAAGCTTTGCATGCTGATGCCAGCTCAGCGACTTTAGGCAGGTGACTTCATTTTGCTGGGCCTCAATGTTCTCATCGGTGAAATGGGAGCATAATAACATAGACCACATAAGTTTGCTGTGAGGGTTACTAATATCACAGACAAATCATTGCCTGTGGTGGCTAATAATCAACAGTGAACTGCTGCTTGAGGGTATTGAAGAGGAATAACTCGTTTTGTGTGTTACTTAGGGACTTAAAAGTACTTTCTTATTCCTCCCCATCTTTTGGCCAATTCGTAGTTATGTGGCATGACGACCCGTGGAATAAAAATAACGATAATGAATGGGGTTTGACCATAACTTAAAAAAAAAAGTAAAACAGTATATGTATAAGATTTTCAGTGTCTCACTGTTCCATTCAGCCTATTTCTTCCTCATTCATTAATTCAACAAAAATGATTGAGTTCCTACTGTGAGTCAGGCATCAGTCTAAATGCTGAAATTTGAAATCATCAGGAAAGAAGACATAGCCGTTGTCTCATGGGGCTTACATTCTAGGAGTGGTGGTGACAGAAAATAAGCATATTCACACTTGTGTAATAGACTATCAAGGAGGAAGCTAGAAAGCTGATGATCAATATCACAAAAAAGTAATACCACTCATCCTTTAGCTGTATAATGCTTTGTAATTTGAAAGCCCTTTCACAAACAGTATGTCAACATCTCATTTTGTGTTTTTAAGCACCCTGTCTGATAAGGGCAACAATTCTCAAGCCTGTTTCATATACAGGGAGACTGAGGCCCAGAGAAGAAGTGGATAAATAAGTTATTGTATACCGCTTATGTGTCAGTTATGAAGATACAGAGTGAACAACGCAATCCTCATCCTAAAGAATTCTTAGTCCAGGGGATGAGGCAACGTCAAACAAATGAATCACAAAGTTATTTAATTAAACCATGATATATGCTCAGGAAGGCAAGTGCAGGAGAGGAGGCTAGGGTGTATGCCTAGTCTGGGATATTTATGCCTACGGATGGGATATTTAAAGTGAAGCTTGAAGGATGAGGAGGAGTTGGCTAAGTGAGGGTATGTATGGGAAGGGAAGAACATTCGAAGCAGCAGAAATGGCTGTGCAAAGGTCCTGAGGCTCGAAGCCACGTGGCATGTCAGAGGAGCTGAGAGATGGCCGGTGGGGGTGGAGCGGCCTGAGACCAGGCTTGTCCAAGTGCTGAGCCCCGTTCTTCATGGATGAGGGACGCCTCTCAATGGCTGGGACTAGGGTGAGGCAAGAGAGGCACCCAGGGCAAAACATGTGAGGAAACCAGCGCTCACGCACAGCCCTGGCCGGTCTTTCTCTGACATAGCAGTGGGATTGTCAACCTGGCCCAGGGACACATCTGTGCTGTTCTGTCCAAGGCAAGTCCTAGTAACCAGTTAAGAATCTATGATTTGGTAACAGGAGCTGGAGACCAGCTCTGCCCTTTAAGGGAAGAGATAAGCAAAAGGAGGAAGTGGGAAGGGGAGGAGAGCCCAGAGCGATTGTGAGGGGAAGGGCGGGGACCCAGAACAGGATCCTCATGAGCCACGAGTGCCAAGGTTCCCCTGCGCCTGTGTGTGTGTATGTTTCTGACACCCCTGCCCAGTTGTGGACAAATCCTTGCCACGGCCAGGGCTGGCGGTGGTGCTGGTGGGGGTGTGTGGGAACCAGGGCCCCTGCAGCCCGAGATGCAGAGCTGGGTGCAGGATCTGTTCCTAGGGAACCTTGAGTGTGGCTCACAGTCGCCTTGGCCTAGCATTTCTCCTTTCATTTGAATGCCCTTGTGTGTCCACAGACCGGCCCCTCTCCGGGAAAGCCCCACAGCAGCCGCCTGTGCCCCCCCAGAGACCGATGGCTGCCCTCCCTCCACCAACAGCTGGCCGGAGCCACGTGGTAGGCCTCCTCACTTTTTTGTGGTACTTTGTGTACTCTGCAAAAATTCCCTCTGCCAGAGGGAAAAGAAGACTACAAACAGTTCCATCTAATTCTAACCAGTAAGACAAGATTATACGTAGGCTGGGAAAATGCATACCCAAGTATTCACGGTGGGTTTTTCTTTTTTTTGGGGGGGGGCAGGTAGGTGAAATGCTAGTCATTTTTATTCATGTAATAATGCTTATCATCGGTATTTTCTTTTTACCATAAACAGCATAATCTATTTGTAGAATAAAAAGTCTCCCTCTGGTATGCTTTGTGCTATCATCTCCCACTTTTGAAATAAGTGAAAACTATAAAACACACTCCGAGAGGAAGGGCAAGTTAAGTCAGTGGCACCAACTGGTTGGTATTCCTTGGGTTGCAAGTCGCCTTCTTTCCTGCCACGAGACTTGCGCCACCTGCTGGCCAACGCCTGAAATTCCACAGACAAACGCCTTGAAACTGAGACAATGAATCGAGAGAGGAAGAGAGAGGCAGCAACCCCCTTTCCTCTCTCTTCAAGCGTGCGGTCCCAGGTCCTGTGGGTCGAATCAAGTACTCAGAGAGGCCCTGAGAAGTTCAAGTTAAGGAGTCAATAGCTGGAAATGTGTTTTCTTCATGAGGCCCCTGAGCGTTTTAGCAGCTGTGGCAAATGCGGAAGAACCAGGGCTAGTCGCGCGGAGGGGACATACCATCCTAACAGCTCACACTCCAGAGCACACCACAGCCAGGACCTCCCATCTCAGTATAATCGGCTCCCCGCTCCTTGTGAAGTTCTCTCCCAAAGGGGGCTCATGGAGCTGCATTTATCTACAAATGCAGCTTGCTTTTGAAATCTGAAGGCCTTCCCTCCACTCTTGAGATGCACAATTCACTCTTTCAATGAACAGATATTTACTGAGCAGCCACTGTGCACAGCAGTGTTTAGCTGCTGGGAATAGATCGTGAAGAAGACAAACGAGGCCTCTGCTGTCAGAAAGTTTCTATCTGGTTAGGGGGAGACAAATAATAAACAAGTAAACAAACGTATAAGCAAGATAATTTGAGTAGAAATGTGTCATTTGGGATACGGAAGACCCATTAATATGAGGATCGGTGGGGAGGTGACAGTGAGCCTGACAGTTGTGGCAAGAGCTGAGAAAAGAACCTTCCAGACAGAAGGAAACACAAGTACAGAGGCGCCAAAGAGGGCATGCGCTTGAGATTTTGTCAGACTAACAAGAAAACATTTACGGAGGAGCCCGGTGGGTGCTGGAGAGAGGCGTATGAGAAGGGGTTGCAGGGTAGGCAGGGGCCAGCTCAGGCAAGGCCATGGAAGTCACGGTCGGTTTTTGATGTGATAGGAGCTGTGCAAGGGCTTGGCAGGGGAATCCACTGTGGGTGAGAGAGGGCAGAACAGGGGGCTGAGAGAGCAGGCCACTGCTCAGGTGAGAAAAAGACAGGTATGTTTGTGGGTGGCACGTGGAGATGGAGCGAAGGGAACAGATTCAGACTCATTTGGGGAGATAAAGCCACCAGGACCTGCCGATGTGTTGGAAATACTTCCTAACATTTGGATTTTTTTTAAACAGCCACTGCCCCCACCCCAGCCCAACCATGAGGAACCTAGCAGAAGTCGAAACCACAAAACAGCAAAGCGTAAGAATGAGGGTTGCTCTGTCTTGCCCACCAGCCCACCCCTTCCCCCCCACCACGCTCTGCCAACCACTCTCTTCCTTTAATTGACGTCAGTTTTTTTTCCCTTCCAGTCCCTCCTCCTTCGATAGACAGAAGCACGAAACCCCCACTAGATCGTTCATTAGCTCCGTTTGACAGAGAGCCCTTCACACTAGGTTGGTATCATATTTGATGCATAATAATAATGGTCGACATTTATTGAATGCCTACTGTGTGCTTTTTACACTCACCATCTCATTTAACTAACACCTCAATACTATGAAGCGGGGACTATTAGGATCACGCTCATTTCACAGATGAGGAAACTGAGGCATGAAGTGGTAACTTGCTAAGATCCCACGTAGAGGCCCAATTCCATATCAGCCTGATGGAGCGCGCCTGCTCTTACTCATCCTTGCTGGGCCTGCTTCTCCACGTGGCCATCTGTGCACACACATCTCGGGTTCCCCTGAGGGTGATGCAGGAGGCATCATGGTGCAGAGGGAAGAAGCAGGCTGAGGGACATGAGGTTGGGGAGGCCAGTCGTCAGGCACCTTGGTCACTGCTCACTGACCACAGGGACCTCCCTTTTCCAGAGCTATCTCCTTATCTGTAAGGTGGATGTCCTGTAAGGAGAAAATGCTTTCTAAAATTCTAAGGTGCTAGTCAAATGGCGGGGTAGTTGTTTGTCGTAGCATGCAGTTGACCAAAATGCACAGTCCCTTTCTCCCAGAATGGACCCAGAGCATTCTCGGATTGCAGCTACCTCCACAATTCAATTCTAAAACTTCGCTACCATTTCTTGAGCACCTACTATGGGGCCAGTGCTTTACCTACCACAAATATCGTACCTACTTTATCTCTAACCCTCACACCGACCCAACAAAGGGGGTGTGTTATTATCCCACTTTGCAGATGATAAAACTGAGGCTCAGAGAGGTTGAATAATTTCCCCCAAACTTGTATTAACTAGGTACAGGATTTGAACCCATGTCTTCCTGACTTCGGAGTGGGTGCCCTTTCCCAACACATCATTCTGTAGTTGGAGACCTTGGGTTTTCCTTGCTGTGCACTAGGGAGTTGTGGGGAAGGTGCCCAAGCCTTGAGGGATCTGGAGCCAAGCACCCCAGCCCCGCCCCAGCCCTTCCTTAGCTGCGCTCTGAGCAAGGCATTAACCTTCCGTGGCCTCAATCTCCTCTTGTGTTAGCAAAATGACTTTCACTTCTTGGATTTGAGGCTGCTGCTGGCTGCTGTTTGCCTGAAAGGGCTCCATAGCTCTGCTGACTCATGCAAAGCTGCGTCAGCTATTTTCGTTTAGAAGGGTCCACTGCAGAGGGCCGTGCAAATGACACGAAAATGAAGACAGAGAGATTTGACTTCAGACTCCAGGCCTGCTTACTACTGTGAGGCAGAGCTCAGAAAAATGGAATACTGACATCCATCCAATCCTTCAGAGTTACCTTCTGAGCAAAATCTGCCCTATAAAAATTTTTTTAATACCAACTCCACCCTTGAATTACTCCCTTGTCTATGATGTTTTTAGAGAACTAACCACTTAACAATACTCAAACTCTTAACAGGAGACTCCTGATATGGCCAGAGAATATGGATAAGTCAGCAGGTTTTTTAAAGAGAAACTCTATTCAGGCTTAAAGATAAAAATTTAAGTTTTCTGGTTATTCCTCTAAAGTAGGGTTTCCACCCCAAACCAAAGTTTTATGAATAATAAACATTTTTTTTTATACCACTAAAACTCTTGCCCACTAGGCAGTGAGCTCTTCACAGTGGGACAAGATTCTTAGGACCTATCATGGGCCTGGTGTATATTTAGTCTTTAGAGAATAAATCATGTTGCGAAAATGCAACTCCAGGCATCTCATATCAACATTCACCTTAGGATGGTAACTGTGCAGGGGAGTGGGGGGCGGGGAGAAAGAGGAGCTATCACACGTGGATCACGTGCCTGATCCTGTGTATAAATTGTCACCTGATCCTTACAACAAACCTATGCAGTTGTAACCTATAATCCCCATTTTACAGGTGAGGAAATTGAGACTCAAAGACCTTAAATAACTTGTTCAAGGTCATACAGGATTTGCTTCTAGAACTGGTAGGATCCAATTAAGTAATACTTTTGTTGCATTGAAGACATAGGGCATATCGACTCTAGGGGACTTCAGACAGAGTCAACAATAACTTTGCAATGCAGGGTTCTCAGGTGTGGCTATCATTTATTCTGGGAGCCTGCACATTATCTGTTCCAAGAGAAAAATGAAAGAAGGGAGAGAGGAAGGGAGAGAGGGATGGAGGGAGGGAGGGAGAGAGAGGGAGAGAGAGAGAGAAAGCCAACAAAAACCAAAACAAAATGATTTGCAGCCCACCATCAGAATCTCCTGAAACCCTCTCCCCAAGTTAAAATTTTTTCCAGACAATAACTGTATAGCTGTAATACTTTATATAATATCAAAATGTGCCATAGGATTAGAGGAAAATTAGCCCCTTCATGGCACATGGGTTTATTTCAGATATAATAATAAACTTAGACTTTACAAAGAACCTCTTGACCAATGAAAGAGGGATAAAATCCCAAAAGACATTCAATCCTTTTTATCACCAGTTACATAAAACGTAGAAAAGAAGCACAGAATCCAGAATGCTGTTTGTGTGTACACAGTGCTGTGTGACCCTGGGCAAGTCACTTAATTTCTCTGAGCCTGTAAACTTAGTTGCTCTTGTGAGGGATCCTTCCAGGTCAACAGCCTATGATTCTTAAATGCTTTAACCCCATCAGCCCCACCCTCACCCTCCCCCCTCTCCCCCCCAAGGGACTTGGTTCATGGTTTCCATGAGCTTTGTTTTATTTTTTTTTGTTTTTTTTTTAAATTTATTTATTTATTGTTAGTTTCAGGTGTACAGAACAATGCAATAGTTACCCTTTT